AGCTATTCTCTGCCCTAGAAATCTCTCCGAGAGCTGATCCGACTAAGTTCTTGAGTTCACGAGCCTTTAGCTTGAGACTCGAACAAGTCGAAGGGAAATCTCTTTGATTTCCATAGTTAATATTTATTTTTAGGGAAAGGAGCGAGCGAACGTGTAGTGGGAAGGAGCGCCAAAAAGCCTCCTAACTCCTTTTTGAATATATAAAAGCCCGCTTCGAAGGTTTCTTTCCAAATCCTTTCTTTTACCGCTTTCATTTATCGCTTTTTGATTGTTGCATTGCACGTTTAAAGCTTTCATCATGTAGATAGTTTACTTATAATCGTTCTAATAAATAGGGGTAGTTTAGTAATTTTACGCTATTATTTATGAAATAATCCGTCATAGGGAACCCGAAAGGGGCGTTGTGGGGTGCTAACACCTTCCCCACACGTAATCGACTCCCTTACCCAACTCTGGTTGTAATGGCCAAAGTTGATTTGCGAAAATCAATTGCCTTATGTCTTTTTCCAATGTTTTGAGTAAAACATTGGTGGCGACTCGAAGAACCCCTTTTTGCGAAAACCACTAATCCATGGAGGGTCTCGTTTGGGATTAACACGGATTGGTGAGAATCATTTAACAAAATTGGTAGTTCGATGAGGTCTCAGTTTGAGAATAAGTCGTTCTAACAATCCATCATTTTTCAAAACTAAAAAAGAGTCCAACCATCGTCGCGAATGCCAATGTCCGTTTCGGCGGGTGGCGACAGGCATCTCCATAATGATCCTCCAATTCAATATTAGAATGAATTGAGGAGTGCATTAAGGAGCAAGCACATACCCTCTTACTACAGTAGGGAGCTTATGAACAAGCTCCAAAGGCTCCAACAAAGACACATGAGTTTTGAAGAGTATAGGCAAACAATGGAGCTATATATGATGAGGGCTAGGATAAGGGAAGAAGAAAACCCTTCCATTGCTAGGTTCTTAAGTGGACTTAATTTGGAAATAAGAGATAAGGTGGAGTTTTTACCTTATAGAGATTTGAATGATTTGGTTCAACTTTGCATTAAGGTTGAACAATAAATTTTGAGAAAAAATTTCAAGAGAGAAAGCTCCTACTCATCTTATTATTACATAAAGGAATACAAGAGGGAGGGAAAAACTTTTGAAAAGAAATACTCTTTTGATTCCTCGAAGAACCTAGACAAAAGTAAAGAAAAAGAAAAAGAAAAAGGAAAGTACACCTCACACACTAGTACCAAGTCTAGGGAGATCAAGTGTTTTAAATGTCTTGGGAAAGGCTACATTGCTTCTCAATTCCCTAACAAAAGGGTCATAATCTTAAGGTGTCAAGACATTTATAGTAGTCAAGATAAGGCTACTACTTCTTCATCTTCAAGTGAGGATGAAGAAGAAACAAGTGAGGAATAAAATTGTGAGTCTACTTATCCTTATGATGGGGAGCTTCTTATGATAAGAAAACTTCTTAACAACCAACCTATTGACACTAGTTCACAAAGGGAGAACATTTTCCATACACGGTGCAATATTTCTAACAAAGCTTGTTCTCTCATTATGGACAGTGGATCTTGGTGCAATTATTATATTAAAAACATGGAATAATTTTTATTATTATTTCTTTTATTCTGTAAGTTCATATTCTTATTATATTTTAATATATGAAAATT